TTTCACACTGCACTTGGTTTTATTATCTCCAAGGAGGCGTCTTTTCCAGAAGCTCTTAGAGTAATATGCTACCACTTGAGGATGCTCAGTATAGATAAACTATTCGTTTAGGACTTTCATATATTCCCAGTTTCCTAGGAAGTTTCCTCAATGCTCACACCCTTATATCCTGACTTCTGTCCCTGGGATAAGCCTCTTGGACGCAGCTGTTTTCAGGATTCCCAAAAGCCTGAAGCAGAACAGGTTCTGAGGCAAAATCCTTTATATTTGTATTTCAAAACAGTAGTTTTATCCCAGAAATTTGGGAGGCCAAGGCGGGTGGATCACCTCCCTTTTACAGATCAAGGGATCTGCAAAACACTCCTAGAAGTTATACATTAGTTCAGCAAAGTCAAAGGATACAAAATAAAGACAAAATCCTATTGTTTCTATATATTATCAATCAGTACATAGGCAAGAAATTTTAAAATGCAATATCATATGGAATAACTTAAAAAATACTTAAGGGTAAATCTAATCAAACATATACAAGACTTGTATGCTAAAAACTACACAATGCCAATGAAGGAAATGCAAAAGACCTAAATAAATGGAAAGCTTTAGTATAGCATGTTCATGGGTTGGAAGATTTAATATACAAAGATGTCAGTTCTCCCCTAATTACACAAATATTTAATACAGTAGCTATCAAAATCTCAGCATATTTTTTATACACAAGATTATTCTACAAATTATATAGAAAGGGCAGACGGGGCACGGTGGCTCACGCCTGTAATCTCTGCACTTTTGGAGGCCAAGGCAGTCGGATCACGAGGTCAGGAGATCGAGACTATTCTGGCTAACATGGTGAAACCGCATCTCTACTAAAAATACAAAAAAATTAGCCGGTCATAGTGGCGAGCGCCTGTGGTCCCAGCTACTCGGGAGGCTGAGGTAGGAGAATGGCGTGAACCGGGAGGCGGAGCTTGCATTCAGCAGAGAGCCCGCCACTGCACTCCAGCCTGGGCAACAGAGCGAGACTCCGTCCCAAAAAAAAAAAAAAAAAAAAAAAGGAAAAAAAAGAAAAAAAGAAAGGGCACGTTACAGGAACAGCTCAATTTTGGAAAAGAAGAATACAATAGAAAAAATCAGTCTACCTGATTTTAAGACTTGCTATGTAACTATAGGAATCAAGACTGTGTAGTGTTAACAGAGAGATACACAGACCAGTGAAACAGAACGGAAAACCCAGAAATAGACCCACACGAATATGCTCGATGAATTTTTGACAAAGTACAAAAAACAATTCAACAGAGTAAACATTCAATTCGATTCAGTAGTGTTGAGCATATGGATATCCATAGGGGGGAAAAAATCCTCTGCCTAAGTCTCACAACTTACACAAAAATTAACTCTAAATGAATCACAGACTTGCATGTAAATACAAAACTATAAAAAATTTAGGAAAAAAAATAGAAAGTCTTCAGGATCAAAGGCCAGGCAAAGACTTCTTAGACATGACAACAAAAGCACAACTCATAAAGGGAAAAAATGGCTAAGCTGAATTTCATCAAACTTTAAAACTATTGCTCTGTACAAGACTGTTGAGAAAATGAAAAGAAGCTACAGACTGGGAGAAACTCTTAACAAATCATCTATCCAACACAGGATTAGTATCTAGAATACATTAAGAACTCTGACAACTCAACAATAAAAAAAGCAAACAATCCTGCTAGAACATGGACCAAGACTTGAAGAGACATTTTACCAGACAAGATATACAGATGGAAAATAAGCACATGAAAAAGGTTCACCATCATTAGCCATTCAGAAAATGCAAATTAAAACCACAGTGAGATATCACTACACACTTGTCAGAGGAGCGAATTTTGTTTCTAAAAAACAGTGACAACACCAAATGCTGACAAAGATGAGGTGAAACTGGATCACTCATACACTGCTGATGGAAATGTAAAACGGTACGGCGACAGTTTGACAGTTTCATAAAAAACTAAACATGCAGCACTCATACAACTCAGCAGTCATACTCCTGGTCATTTATCATAAAGAAATGAAGATTTATGTTCACACGAAAACTGTACAGAAATGTTTATGAAAGCTTTAATCATAACAGCTCAACACTGGACAACTCAATTGTCATTTAATGAGTGGTAAAGCAAACTGCAGTACACCCATGCCATGGAATAAAAAGAAGAAACTACTGATAAATGCAACAGCTTAAATGACATTCAAAAGAGTTAAGCTGAGGGGAAAAAAATTCCCCCAAAATTACATACTATATGATTCCATATATATACACACACACACATATATACATATATACACACACACATATATACACACACACACATATATATAACATTACTGAAATGGCAAAAATGTAACATTGGAAAACAGATTAGATGGAGTGGAAGCAGGCAGGAAGTTGCTATGTCTATAAAATGGCAACATGAGGGGTTCTCATGGTGAGAGAAATGTTCTGTGTCTTGGCTATTTCAATGTCAATGTTAATGTCAATGTCAATGGTTGTGCTATCATACTACAATTTTATAAGATGTTACCATTGGAGGAAACTGGGTTAAGTGTACATGAGCTCTCTCTATTATTTCTTACAACTACACATGAATGTATATTTATCTCAAAATAGAAAATTCAATTCAAAAAAAACCTCAAAATGAATGGGGGAATATGGATATGTTTGCTATCTTGAGTGTAATGATTTAACATGTACATATTCACATATATCAAAACTCCTTAAATTGTACACTTTAAATACATGCATTTTTTGCATGTCAATTAATCTTCAATAAAATAAGGGGTGAGGTGTTGGGAGGGAATACAGTATGTCTCTTCCTCTTCCCTGAGGAATTCAATCTTATAATCATTAGTTAAGTCAAGCAAAATAGGCATCCAAACCTAAAGAGGAGGAAGGGAGGAGTTAGGAGCTGTTGCAGTGTCCCAGAGCAGAGTGTAAGAGCCGGAGCAGGGTGAATAGGCGTTTTTCGTAGAAAGGTTGCCTGATTCCAGGTTTTGGATATCCAGTGGGTTGAAGAGGGTGCCTACATAACACAGCTGCTGGGCACACAGAGGTCTAAGCCCAAGTGGGTAGGAGAGGACAGCCATACCTGTAGGGCCATAGTGGTGATGAGAGATTGCTTACAGACGGAGGACTGACAGCAAATATATTGAGGCTAATGGGAACCAGATTTCTCATTGTTGGAGAAAGAAGTCACCAATGTGGAAAGCAAGAAAACTAGAGTAAACCCTGTAGTGTTAAATTACACCTAGAGGTACTGATGTAAATTCATGATTTTCAAGATACATAGATATGTAGAGAAATAGGTTGAGATTTAAAGGATGAACATGTGTGTATACTAGCTCTGTCCATTGAGAGGGCCTAAAACCAACAATGCCTAATATTAATAATAATGAACACAAGTAGCACCCTGACCTTGACTTCTAAATACCATTCTCCAATAAAGGAACAAGGGGTACTAAGAGAAATGGCTGAACCCGGGACTGATGCAGCAAAAGTATATGATGAGTCTGAAACATCTTTTTGTATCAGAAAGTAAGAAATAACAGAGATATATCCAAAGAATACAGAAGTCAAATTGAAGTAACTAGCTAAATCTATGACAATTTGGACATCAAAATAAATATTGATAGTAACAGACTGAATTGGATTCAGTAAGAAAACAAGAATCTATAGTGATATAAAGTAAGTCAATAGATAGAAAATTTTATGTGGAATTGCATATCTGTTTTTGTTTTTGAATGGGATATTTAACCTTAACAAGAATATTTTAATTTTGACTCGGATTGTGAATAGGTATTACTAATATAATTAAAAGTGTACTTCAAAGTACAGCTGATGACCTGAAGGTTCGTAAAGTCTACTGGGGGGAAGCATAGTGAATCGTGAGAATTCTAGGATTTCTTTGCCCAGCATATATTTCCACTTCATCCATCTATTAGTAGACTAGCTATGGAGAAAATGAAGAGAGAAGTATAGAATGGCTGTTCTGTTTCTAGCTTGGGTGTCCTGGTGCTACTAATTAATAACGGGAACGTCAGAGGAAAAGCAGCTTGGTGACAGAAGACAACGGTTCAGTTCGTAAGATTTTACCTTGAGGATGTTTAGCAATCAGTTGGTTTCACTGGCTTAAAATTCAAAGAATTAAGTTAGTGCTAAAATAGTTAACTACATGAGGGAATAACTTATCTAAGGAAACCGATAAACAGAAAAGTGAGTAGGACAAGGGCAGTAAGAAAATAAACATTTAGAAAAAAGCTTTCTGCTGTTTGTAATAGGACAGTTTATAAGCAAGTACAATTACGAACAAACACGGTAAGCAAAATATTTTTAAATGTTTTAATTAGCAACTACTTAAATGTCAATAAAAAGTACAATTGACAGATATTTCTCACAAGAAGACATACAAGCTGCCAAACATGAAAAAATGCTCAGCATTACTAATCATCAGAGAAATACAAATCAAAGCCACAATGAGATACCATCTCACACCAGTCAGAATAGCTACTAAGAAGTCAAACAACAACAGATGCTGGTGAGGCTGTAGAAAAATAGTGAATGCTTATACACCACTGTCAGGAATGTAAATTACTTCAGCCACTGTGGAAAGCAATTTGGGGATTTCTCAAAGAACTTAAAACAGACCCACCATTCTATCCAACATTCTCATTCTGGGTGTATATCCAAAATTATTCACTCTCCCAAAAAGACACATGCACTCATATGTTCGTTGCAGCACTATTCACAATAGCAAACACATGGAATCAACCAAGGTGTCCATCAACGGTGAAGTGGATAAAGACATTGTGGTACATATACACCATGGAATACTATGCATCCATTAAAAAAAACGAGGAAATATGTCCTCTGCAGCAACATGGGTGCAGCTGGAGGCCA